TACACACATTCACCTAGCCCATCCAACAAGAAACAGCCCACGGAGGAAATGGGCAGGCGTTAGGACACCGGCCGGCAAACAATCGGAAAGTAAACTAACAGGCTATCCGTCACGCAGTGTATTTATAATTTAACCTTCGGTGATTAGATGGCTCCGTGTCGGTGTATTGATATTACGCTGACTACGTTTTAGGCATTTTGAGAGAAAATCAAGGGGGAAACACCAACAGTTGAAGATGGTTTAGTCGGGAATTGTTGCCGTGAAAAGAAAAGAAAGAGAGGGTAATTAGCCCACCCAGCTCCATGCAGATAGACCTGCAGATGCACGAACTTGGACAAGGTTTTCATGCAAAGCATGCAACACTACTGCTCTCTACGGGAGTTACATTATCTTATCCTCGAGCGTATCCCTATTCGTTGTCTATACGATCCTTCTGTCAGTGGCCCTTGACACAACAGCCATGGTCTCAACTGCTTTGGGAAAGATGATGCCTACTCATGGGGGGGTTAGAGTAGGATTCAACCGGCAACACATTGCGCGATAAGTAAACACCGAGACATTTGCTCGACCAAGGCCCGAGAGAGAGAGAAGGAAGCAAAGCCTAGCATGTCATTTCTTTCCACCCAGGTCACCGAAATCGTCCAACTAGCATTACAAGGAGTTAGATTCGGGGCAGTGAGCAGGGTAAACAAAGGATAACCTCGTGGTGTCCTTTCTTCTCCCACTCCTGTCTCCCACTCTCTCCCACATAGCGGATAATTACACGTCACACCACCAATACTTATTGTCTTGGACACGCCCTCCCGTCTCCTTCCCGCCTCGTCTACTCCATACTTTGTACCTTTTGTAAGACCTCGATGTCTTTTTTACGAGTTCATTTATCGAAGAGCAGCTTGTCAGACGCCTATCGATCCATCCCGTCGAGAGAGGCACTTACACAAACACGAAATGTCATTCCAAAACGCCCCCTCTTCGCTCTTCTCCGTCCCAAACACACACTCTTAACAATCACTCAGTAATAGCGTCCGCTCCTGCCCAAAACCAGGTTAGGGTGATTGCATTCCCATTCTCGAAATGCCCATTACACACATACACACACACACACACACACACACACACACACACACACACGTACAGTAGAGAAGAGGTTTGTGCCAACTACGGGAATGCTACACAAATACGCAACGGGCCACCCCCTCTCCACCAAAAACTAACCCGCAGCACGCCCTGCGGTCGAGTTGGAGATGGTCAGCATCAAAAGAGAGTAGTCTAAAAAGCGCGGGCTACGAAAACACGATTTACGTATGCACCGTTGGAGACGACGGCGTATGGAGACTTTTGCAAAACGCCATCTCGGGGGCTTCGACCAGATCGGTCCATCGCTCCGGGCTGGGCTTGTTCACTCGGCCGAATCAGCCCCGGAAAAATCCGTCATGGTGCATGGCAGGCCAGAAAGCAAGCAATGGGCTTGTTTTAGTTTGAGTGGCGAAGAAGGACGGGACACTAAAAATGAAACAAAGAGGAGTAAATTGCCCAGGCATGTTGCTACACATAGGGGGGGTTGCAGAGCACAGCCTTGTCGCCTCGCCATGACGTGTCACAGGACAATGGTTCGCCGACGTTTCAGCCCTATCCAGCTTCTTTGTGATTAATTATTTTATTTCAATTAATCGTTTTCTTTTTTTTTTATAAAAAATCCGCAGCAAGAGTGGAGGACGTCGGCTTGCGGAACCCAGACGGGAAACAGAAGCCGAGAATCTTTGTTTACACTGTGTCTCAAAAGAGAAACTGCAACTCCGCCTAAAGGAGCTCTCTGTAGCTGGGGCAAGCCAACGGCTCGCTGAATCAGGAAACTATACGGATGACTATACACGTTGCAGAAATCTTGTTATAAAAAGGGAAAACATAACGGTGGGTTCCATGATGAGATGGCGTGATGCTTCAACGTGCTTGTTTACCACTTGCGGACGCTTCGGATGCCCATTTGCTGTTTATGGCAATTTTAGGCGTGGTCTCCTCATGTGTTTGTTTGTATGTCATCAGGCTTCTAGAAGACTTCTCAACCCACGACGGGTAGCTTACTGTACAGTACTTAATTGAGAGTACAACAGACGGCAGTACTGAGCTAATGGCTTATACGTTGTTGCGGAGGGTGAGAGAAGAGAGGGTGGTGTCTCTTTTTGCCACTTGTCAGCAAAACGTCCCGGGTTCCTCTCTTTCCGCCATGCTTTCCGCTTTTGGGCCTTTGTCTAGCTATTGTCTACGTAATGTTGCTTTCTAATCACAGAGTATGGTACGAGCTGGATGGAGTGAGATGAGAAGTACTGGGTATCAGGCTGACTTGATGCTGCCCCGGGCTCCCAGATAATCCGACTTACATGTAGTCAGCGCACATGTATGCCCAACAAGGAGTAGGATGTATTCCATGTCCGACTCCGGAGTTTATCAATGGCCGCTATTAGTAGCTGGAAGGATTCTTGTCCTGCATATTAAACGAATCCATCCGTTTACACCGAAGACAGTCAAACTCGAGTCAGCAGCCAAAGGAGCTGTACTAAGCAGCTGTAGTAAGCAGTGCGGGCAGCTGAGTCACCCCCATATCCGGCATTACGGCAGAGATCCGCGGGTATAATACGGCAGTGCCTTGTCTCGGGAATAGAATATATGTACTGTAATGTGCTCGTTGATTCCTAATGATCTTTGGGTGGCCGTTCGGGAGCAACAGCAACACCATAAGCTGAGTATAGCAAAGCCTGAAATGCGACGGTAGCCTTCTGTAGAGCAAATATATGGGCGGAACCTCGTACGGGCGCTCCATTGGCCTCTCGTAGTAGTCGTAACGGTAGTTGCCGATGCTGAGGGCGTGTTGAACTACAATAGGCATATGTATAATTATTAATGCCTTATAAGCTACTAATATGCAGCGTATACTTGCCTAAAAAGGAAAACGCATGAGCCAGGGCACCAGCGCCCTTTACAAGATGCAGTAGTGCTCCATGCTCTGTAGGACACACATAGCAGGAGGTAGCAATGGCATGACTAGCAGTGGTGCTAATTAGCAAGGCTTCCGAGAGCCCCAAAGGACCCAAAAAGCGGCCAAAAAGGGACGCGGCATGGAGGTGGCGGCAGCTCTTGGGCCTCAAAAAGTTTACGAAGCCCAGACCCCCAGATATGGATGACGGTGTACAAATAAGGCAGCTAGCAAGCAGACTGAGAGACAGAATTAGACCATGCCTAAAGGGCTGGGGCCAAGAAAAGCTTCCCATGTCACTGCGTCATCGAATGGCAATCTGGCTGTTGCTTTCATCCCGCGTTTTCGTTCAGAGAACGAGGTGCTCAAACGGCGGACTTTATTTTCAGGAGGCGTGCCAGAAAAGAACAACGTGCAATCTGGAGGCAGAAATTGACGGCCGCACGCCTTATTGCCTGGTCCGCAAAAGGGCCGTATAGAAAAAAGGCATTACGGCATCGCAAGGAACTCAAAAAAGAACAGACAACTTGCGGTTACTGTAGAAGTGGTATAGGTATACTTGAGGCTGAAGATGGCATTGTCTTGCCACGCAGCCTTGAAACAGGGATCATGCGACTTCCGCATAATAAAAACGAGCATTATTACTCGTCGACTCTGTCTGTGGACAGCACTGCAGTATACGAAATACGAGTGGTCAACACCAACTCATCATTCCCCCCTTGCGGCTGGTGATCTCATGCCCCCCCATTGCCAACAGCCGTTCTCATTCTCGGAGCTGTGTAGCAAATACCCGATACCGATATGCAAGATGCTCTCCCGACTCGGGTCTACAAATCTCTCTCTCTTCAAGTGCCGACGAAGCGTTGGAATATTGAAAAAATTTCTTCGTTCTGCATCCAAACAGGCCTAGCATATATGCAGCTTGCCCTGCAACTCCTTCAGAAAGGGCAAAACATGTCACCTTAAAGGTCCCCCACCTAGCCCAAGCTGACGGGCGTTGGTCCAGCCCTGCAGCTCGCTCGTTGTTTATGAAAAAAAAAAAAAAAAAAAACCGCTGCATGCCATGTACAGCAGACCGTTAAGCCAGGGTCATTCGATGAGTGCTGTAGTGCTTACTTTAGCCCAGCGACAGAGCCCGCACGGAAAAAGGCGTGGGAGTTTCTAGCCCTCTTCTCGTTTGCTTCCCTCCCACAAGTAGCGAAAACCTTTTTTCGATGCCAGATTCCCGCGTGGCATGTCATTATCCTGTCGCTGATTCGGGGTCCCGGTGACGCCGTGCCGTCCACACGCCGGATCTCGAACGGCTGCACGCAGCACCGACTTTTGGGCTCCCGATTTTCAGGGCCCCCGGCAACCCCGGCATGGCCTCCGGTTAGTCACAATAAGTTCCGGGACGATGCTGTTGTCGTGGCTGTAATTTCGTTGGATGGAGACTAGAGACAAGAAAGAGGGAAAAAAAGGTTTTCTTAGCCGGAAGAGAATCAGGAGAGAAGCTGCTTGTAGGATGATGCGTTTGTCATATGGGTCGAACATCCAGAGCAACACGCTCGGGGAATCCAAATTGCTGCTGCCTAGCGAGAAAAGGAATGGACAACTCCACGCCCGTTTGATGAATTACGGTGTAGGCATTGTGATGAACGGGCCTTCAGACGGCCGCGTCGTTTATTTTTCGGCGCATCTAGAACGATGTGATTGTCTTCCGGCGTCCAGCACCATCGTCTCGGACTCATCATAATCTGACGAGGAAAATGTATCTTTCCGTGCACGGATCTTTTGATCATGGAGGCTTTTCTCCGCCGCACTGAGTAAGTGCAAGTGGCATATTGCGTGATGCTTCCAACAAGGTCCACTTGACGGAATATCAGTCATCATTTCGACCTTTGAAGCAACTCTGTAGACAGTGCATGGGGCAATAGTGATGATGTAGGGTACACGCATACCTAGCAAGAAGCCTCTCTGCAGGCTGTATGTAGTTGGCGGTCTCTGTTTGTATACATCCTCTCTTACGAGCAGTATGTATTACCTACTACTGCCGAAGACTTAGCATCCTACAGACGCTTTTTTCTTATTCTGCCCGCCCTAACATGCTGTTTCCTCATTTGTTTTGGGTTACAAGATGCTAATTTGCCGGTAGGATTCATGCGGGTCATGACCAACACTCATGTGGTAGCCGCATGAGCAAATCCACGTGTCTCACAGCCTCCTCCTCCTCATCCTCCTTCTGCTCTTCCTCTTTGGCGGTGTCATTTCCGACCGAAAGGCGGCCCAAGGGAGATGCATTTGATCTTTTACCGAAAATGAAATGAGAATGAGAGATAAAAACTGGATGATGAGAGACACTGTCTGTCTCGAGTCCATATTCCGGGGGAGTAGATATAAAGTTTCTCCCCCCTTTCTCACGACGGATATCGCGGTCCGGGGCGCGGGAGAGAGTCATGGCAGAGACATGGACAATCCACAGCAAAAATGGAGAGGGCTTTTTGGCAGCACCACCGTAACCAGCGAGCCAGCACCGAAGCATGCCCTCTTGCCCAGGGGGGGGGGGGGGGGTTCGTTGAATGACGGCTTTTTTCTTCAGCTCTAAGCTCGTTGGGCACCTGTTTGTAGACGGAGAACGCATTGACGATGGCATCTTAGCTGCACTTTGGTGAGCTGTAAGGATGCCAAGCCCTGTCACTGCTGCTGGATTTACCCCTCAGCGTCCCAAAATCTCTTGCCCAGTCTCCCCATTGAGCAATAAGTTGAGGGGCTCCCCCCTCTGTCCTCCCCTTGTCCTCTCTCGGATTCCCCTAAACGGGAAGAGTTCTGGAAGCTTTCTGGAAATGTTCGATGAGGGGGGCGTGTAGATGGTGGAGGCCGCGGGTCCCATCAGCTAAGTCCAGCGATTGGAGCAGAAGCCCGGGATTTCTGGCGGTTGTTACGGAGTCTGCGCAGACATGTCCGAGCAGGTAGAGGCCTTGCTTGGCATGCAGGAAGAGATACTTTGGGACAGCATGCACACGCCCCCCTTTCGGATCACGCTGAGATCTTTGCGCAACAAGGCAATGCCCCGTCTCGACGGTACAAGGCGAATCCGTCGTGCCGCAAGTCGGCGCGTTTTCTCGCTAGCAAGGAGCTGGGAGCCCCGGTCAGTTCGAGGCACGCACTTGTAGATTCTTGTATACTGTAGATGCGTCGAATTCCTCTCTCCCTGCCCAAAAAGGGGCGCTACTTAAGCCCGTGCCGATTATGACGGCCAACTGCTCCATGACTCGAGCCACTGGGTCCATTATCGAACAGCACAGACAAAGCTCTGCTGGCCGTCATCATCCGGATGGGCCCTTTTTTTTTTCTCCAAGCCCATTCCCCAAGACCGACCTCCCACTTGGCCAGCGTACACATATTGCTACTAGAAGTAATAATAACGAAGCAGCCCGCTGTGCAGTTACCCCCTACTGTACGAGACACAGACCGGACGGGCGCACGGCGGACAGCCAGTGTTTCTGCTGGCTGAGCTGGGCGGCCGAACCGAAACGACCGACCCTATCGCCGGCGCAGTCATCGGCTTTTACAATATGCCGTTTCATGGCCGGGCTGCGGAGGACTGGCTTACTGTACTCTGCCATGTAACTAGCAGCAGCGTACGGAGTATAGAGCACTGCCAAAACAGCAGCTTACATACTTTTTTTTTATTCTTTCCAACTTACATGGGTGGGGAGCCAGTCGGCCGATCCTTGTGCCCTTTCCAGCAGCTGGATGGCGTGGCAATATCAAACGCAAGGCGAGGCGGCATCTTCTTACACGCTCGGAGTCGCACAAAGGCCCAGGACAGTGCCGTGTATGTTGTGTAACACAGGCAGGAAGGGCGTGCTACGGTGATGTACGGACATTTGCGGCATGCGTGCATATTTTTTTTTTTTTTTTTTTTTTTTTTTTTTNTTTTTTTTTTTTTTTTTTTTTTTTTTTTTTTTACCTGATATTTTCATTTTCTCGTCCTCGTCTGCTATTCGTACGGCTCACCAGCCACGAGGGATCTGCAGATAGGCACAAAGCCTCGTTGCTGCTCCATAGCTTGTGGGCTTTTCCTGACTAACAGAAATCTCCCAATGAGTTGGTGCGGCGATACGCTCCGTTTCTCCGCAGTGACCAGACCTCGACGGACATCTCAAGTACCCATAAGGCGCCTGGACCTGCGATGGGGGACCTTGGGCCAGCGTACCGGGTTTCTCCCCAAAGTCCTAGCGGGCGGGAGGGCGACGGCACATGGCTTTTTCTTGGTCGCCCTGAGAGTGGAGTTTTGAGGCGTTGCCCCGCTTGATGGCTTCCATCTTTGCTACTCTTCGTAGTGCAAGCGTTGGTTGTTATCTAGTATACGGCATGTCCCTGCCTTGGGAGGAATCAAAGGACAAATCTTGAGGCCACAAGAGAAAGAGAGTGAGGCAGAATGAGGCTCAGCTTTTGAGTAAAATCCGAAACCAAAAAACAACTGCCGAGTTGCAGTGGCAGCCTTGATCATGCCAGTGACCGACGGATGATGACCGATGACATAGTGAGGCTGTCCATTCGTTCGTACTTGGTTTCGCAAATTGCTGCGCTGGACGGGCATTGGCTTTAACAAGAAAACGAACAAGCTGCTCACGACACCGCAAACACAGCCAGTCCCTGTACATCCTTGCAAGCATTTACAGCCCAGGGCAGTCCACGGGGCCGGATGCTGTACAAGCATGTTCCCACAAAGTACTTGCTGCAACCACCATGCCAGATCCCATCCCGGGCTTCAGTTCTCCTAGCGCCGGGCTTCACGTTCTGGTTCATACAGACCCAGAGCAAAGGGCCGCTCGGTTACCGGCCGAGCCTGTGATTCTCGCTCCAGAAACGAACAAGACGGTGTACAAACGCCCCTCCCTGGGAGGTGGCAGTGCCAGAATGATTGCTGCTATTACTACTAGTACTACTACTACTACTACGACGACTAGGTATTTCCAGTCTCGTCAAGTGCCTGGCCACTCAGCCATGTTACAACTAAAAGTACCGCCTTGTACAAGGCAAATATGGCGTGTACGGGGCTCTCACATGGGCGACTCTCTCCGATATTTGGGCCATGCCTCATTCCTGGGGATTAAAAAAAGCCCATCTCATCTCAGCTCACCTATGATATCCAAACTCCGTACAGCAAGTACTATTCTCGGCTATTCGCTCACGGTCTCTAACCATGAACGCCACAAAGTCCTCTTAAGGCATGGCCAGTTGCTGCTATGATGTGTAAGCGGCACTCGATGTGCCGTATTGTTTGTTTGTTCGCCCACATTCCGAACACCACCCACCCGGAGGGATATCCCACTTTCTTCTCCTAGCTCCCTGCCCAGATCAGCCTTGTTGAGATCATTATATAGCCATTTGCACAATCTAGCTTATTACGGGAGCAACTGCTGACAGCAAAAAAGAAAGACAGCGTTAATGACGACGACAATGCTGCTGCTGATGACGACCAGGAGGGGGGTATTCCTAATAGTATATGTATTAGCCCATATCGAACCCAAAAGCGCCAGCAGCATCTCCATCCCCATCCATGCCTCATAACATACTGTCATGCTACCAGCACAAACCATGCTGCCTCCGAAATGATCACCACGGCAAAATAATAAGCAAAGAACGGGTGCATCGCGTGCTTTTTCCCTGCGCCTACATTTTCGGGTAAGCCTCCGAGCTTAGCCCACACAAGCCGCGAGAACGCGAAAGAGCGAAGCCACGGGAAGAGAGAGAGATGAGACGCAGGCGGGAAGCAAGAAAAGCTAGAGCCAAACCTCATCTAACGAATCAATGTGTCCCATTCGTAAAACACACGAATCAGCAGCTAGAGATTCAGCCATCCCGATCTACGATGGCGCTACTTCTTACAGGGGCCCATCTTTTTTTTTTCCCTGTGTGTATACATAGTATAGGTAGTAATTATAATCTATCTGAACCGTCATCACACATGGTCCCTTGGCCCCGGTTTTTCTTCTTCTTCTAACTTGTTCCTTTTTTTGAAACCTTGTAGCGCGCGCTCCCTGGGGACGTGTGTCTCTCTTGAAGAAAAAAAAAAGCCATCAACAAAAGATCACAAATTATAAGCATCAAGCCAAACGATTGCAAGCTCCAATGGCTGTGCAAAGCAATGACAAGCCCAGGGGGGTGTTTTCACATAAGACGGTACTGCCATGTACCTCGAGCCTCGCCAATACCAACTCACTTGTAGATACAAGTATAGTACCTACGATATTACTCTAAACAAGCGAAAGAAAGCCATATCGCACACCCCCCCTTGCCCTACCGACAGTCCGAATATCCGGCCGCCGTTTTTCTATTTTTTTCCAGCCAGCCACAGGGACACACGAAACAGCCCAAAAAAAAATAAAAAAAAAAAAAAAAAAAAAAAAAAAAACCCCATCTTGCCGTTCCGCAGTCACCCCCCTTCCATCATTGGCGCAAAGTCGGGGACAATAAGCCCTCGATGACCCCATGAGATGATGATAAGGCTGACCCCCAACCCAGCCTCGCGAGTAGTGGATGCAGCCCTACCAGAGCATGCATGACTCCTACGTTTGAGCTAGCTTTGCGCCTTGGCCTATCATTGTCCTCCCTTCGCTTTGAATGCCTGTTTTGGAACTACTACTTGTGATGGATTCACAACGACAAACGTCGTGGATATCCCTTTTTTCTATTCTATTCGGCTTTTCTATAGCTATACGATGAAACTAACTTACACGTGTAATAAATTGACTCCGAGGCTACTTTGGTTTCGGAGTCCAGCTCCGAGATATTAATTAATTAACCTTGGCGGTAGTAGCCTCCGTGTATGCAATAATACTTACATGCCCTTGTCTTGCCACTTGCAGCAGGGTGCCGAAATACAACGCCAGGCCAAGCTTGTTTGTCCACATCTTATATTTGATACAGGACGGACCACGGGAGGGGGGTGGAGTGAGGCGAAGGCGCCATAAATCTTTCTTATTTTATGTCCATATATTACGCCACTGGTGTATAGTATTCGAATATCATCATTTATGTTGTCTGCTTCCTTGACGCTGGGCTACCAGGATTCGTACACCTCGAGCATTTAGCTCTATCCGGGGTGTCCTTTGTTTGGTACCCTTTTTCATCAATTTAGGGCTTAATATCCGAATCCTGCCGGGGTAAGGCGGGAAAAAGATTTAGGAGAGAGTGGCAGACAAATGGCAAAAGGGCAGATCTAGTGATGATAACAAGGAGCGACAGAAAAGCCCTGTGATGAATGCTACCCTACCAACGTCACTTCGCCTCGCCGGTTGGACGATCTCGTGTAAGTTCATCAACTATCCCACACCAGACATGCAGGGCCCAAGGGCAGAAAAGCAACTCCGCATACTAGTCAGCCAGCTGCTATATGAGCCAAGAGAAGCAAAACAACCCCCAACCCCCCCTGGGCCGAGCAAGATCAATTAAAAATAGCAGAAGGCTCAGGAAGCACGCATCCACTTTTTCCGTTTTTGCCTTTTCATGGTTCCTTTTCCTTCAGCTTAAGCTTGGTCTTGCCCAGGAGCTGAACCATACCATGGGAGAAAAAGAAGGCCCCCTTATTATTGTACACTCCTCCCGTATTCCTTTTAATGTGCTTGATGGCTGTTTAGCACGTAAGCTCTTGTCTTGCGCTAAGCCATTCAGCTCGACTTCAGCCCCAACGAAAATCCCACCTGCCGAGCGACGCCACGAGAAGTTTGCCGTAGCAATTTAAGGGGGGGGNGGGGGGTTAGATTACTCCATCGTATTGGCCCCCAAGGCGAACCAAAGAGGCCACGCTCACTCCCCATAGAATTGGGTTGGAATCGTCCGGCTAAGCACGTGTAAACGAAGTGGGCAATTGCCCTACAGCCATGTGCGCATATCGGTGGTGTCAGAAGGGAAAAAAACGGCGGTGCGGGGGATGAGCTACTAGCATCGTTACCAAACAGGCCACACTATTAGCAAAGCAGCACGCCTTTATCAGCCATTATGAAGCAGAGGGCAGAGTCAATTACCCGTTTCGGTGCCGAGCCAAGCCCCGAAAGCGCGCGGTCTGAAGTTTCGCTTCTCTATTTGCCTTTTCTTGCCATTCCCCTATTTGCTCTTGGCATTACCTATCAGTATCGAGAGTTTGAAACAGGCTTGCTCTCGGTGTATAGTAGACATATAGGGCGTAGATCGTTGAGGAAAGCCAAGACACAAGACTTGCACGCAGCAATTACGTACCAGCATAATCAATTCTCCCTTTTTTACTCCTGGCCGCCCCAGCGCGGAATTTGTGCCTCGCCTTGGCATTGCCACACGCGTATATTTGTAAGAGCTTCGTAAATGTAAGTGCGCCGAATAGGCTATTGCCGCTTACCGAGCCCTATCCCGAGTCGTCGCAACGCAGTCGACTGAACGAACGAGGCTTGACTTTCAGCCCAAGCTGTCATTTCGCAACCCCAAGCCCTGTGGGACCTCGCCAGAGGGGATTGGTTTAGACGTTGTACTACAATGAGCACTAGTCGGTTGACGGCACCAACAGCAGCGCCTATCTTTTTTTAGGTTCTTGGTGGAGATGGAAACGAACAAAACGACGCAGCTAGGAATAGCGGTTCCAACTCCATCTCAGTCTTCGCTCAGCCTCCCGGTAGGCTTACTGAAGTCTATGCTGCCGTTTAGATTCAGACCGTCGGCGCACAATGGTCCTGTAACAGGCAACTACCGTCAGACAAAATCCGGCCCAAAGTGTGGATGCCCCAGGCGCCGTTTTATTTTTCAACGTTGTGGCAAGGTTGAGGTCTGGTCCATAGTTTGGGTAATCACCCAAATACCTACACCATCTGCCCCTCAAGAGAATCTCCCAGGGTAGAAGAAGGATTAAGCGATCAGGACCAAGGAAGCCATGCCTTACCTTTCGTACTAACCCAATTCCCCCCTTTCTCTCTTTCTGCTCCCTCTCGAGTCATTCACAGAGCTTTACTCGCCTGTGCCCTTTTGTCTCAGCCCAATAACGCAATGTCCCCTTTGACAGTCTCATTCTACCAGGTTGAAAAAAAAAACTCATGGCCACACACTTAGACGTCTCATTTTCTTGGCACATTAGTAATGCCGCCGCTGCCGCTGCACAAAACGCCGCCTCTGCCGCCGCCATTGCCAAACAGGCTCCTAGTAGTCGTCGTAGCACATACTTTCGAATACACCCCTCTAGCTCGATTCCGACTCCAGACGAAAAAAAAAAAAAAAAGACGAAAAGGGCTACTAGTGAAAATGATAAACCACTTTTGAGTCGTATCCGTATGGTCTTGCAGGATGAAACGAAATCGAGACATCCTAGGGCGTGAATGTCCGAGCCCGTCCGTCTCCTCTCGAATCATGCTTCTTGTTATGTTCGAGTCTTTTTTTTTTTTTTCCTTTTCGTTTTGGGACTCGATTGTACTATTCCATAACCCCCCTCCTTCTGGAGGCTTAGTCCGACGGATACTAGAGGTGGTAGTACTTGCAAATTGTCCCCCCAGCACTTGTTTCCAATGGGGAAGCACCCTTTCCTCTCCATCTCTAGCCGTCACCACTTATACAATTTATTCATGAGCGGTATGCCCAGGCAATCCCGAGTACTGCTTAGCCTGCACCCGCACCCGAACCCGACAGTTTGGGTCGCCATTAATTAGGAGGGGCTCTTCTCCTCCCGCGCGTCGACAAATATGTATACTAATACCTCAATACAGCAATATATGAAGCGGGAGACGGCGATTCAGAAGCATACCTGTAAGTATGGGCCGACGCTGTGCCGGCGTTACATTGAAGGCGGGAGATGCTCCATTTTCTCGAAGGATTGAAGGATTGAGGGGCCGTCCTTTCGCTGGCCCCCTTGGGTCTGGGACCCTTTTCTCATCTCCGGACGGGACCACGGAGCGCCCCATCCTCCGTATAAACATACCGGCATCTCGTCCAATAACCAGGTCAAGCGATCTACTCACGAGGAGCCCTGAAGTGATATATGATAGCAGTCCAAGCCCAATGTACAGGATAGGTCGATGGAAGTGCAAGCTGCTTCTCACGCATTTGCACGCCAACGCAGTTAGTTTATCATTCCCGTCTCGCGTGCGGAGTAGTCCCGCATAATGCATCGCCTGATGGATCGAAAGCTTCCGTTAGCACGTCGTTTCTTCTCCGTTCAGCTGCTGTAGCGTGTGGAGCAGTGCGTGGTAGCGCAGCGCCATGCACCACGATATATGCCCCAACAAGCAGCCCTACATACGGAGCACCAGCCAACACGCTCGAGGCTACCCTGCATCTCTGCTAGATTAGCATGGCATGCATGCCGCAGCTGTTGGTCGGTTAATGACGCAAGTATGTAGTATCGTATGAGGTTTTTTTTTTGGTTGGGTTATTCAATTCTCTCTGTCTCACTTTCACCCTGAACCATAATCCTGCCTGCGGTCTGACGGTGTACAGCCGAAGATGTAGAAGACGTATAGAGTACCCCGTCGTCCTGCGTAAAACTGCATGAGTACCACACCAGTTACTCTTCGTCCGCGATAAAAACAAGCCCTAGAGCACTACTAAAACCAGACAGTGATGATTTGTAATTCCACTGCCAGTCCGAGGCAATCCACAAGAATGCCAAAATCGGACAGTGGTGCTTTATAATTGAACCGAATGACCGTTATTGTTAAGCGAGTTTGAAGGAAGTAGATCCGCACCAAGTTTGCCTGTTATGCCAAATCGCCAAATCCCATGCATGTGCACGCAAACACCCTTGGGTGTAATCCGAGGCAAGTACGGCGAATGCATACAAGTCAAGATAGGGAATAGAGTCTTTCTTGTCTGATCAATTTCAACCATGGTCGTGCTCAAAAACCAAGATACACGCCCTGCAACATTCGATATCCCGATATGGAAGCGAGATCATACTCACACGCCCACACAACCTGGTAAATCCAACTCAAATGGTGTCAAGCGAGATAACGAAAAATCCCCATAGGATAGCACAGAATGAGGGGCTTTGATGTCACCACGACCACCATTAGGTCTAGGGCCCGCATGAGCCAGAGTGACTCTCAAGATGTCATGTTCATTACCGTAGGGCAAGAGAAAAGGGATCACGGAGCATCTAGTGGCACTAAGTAGTGAGTGCACCCACCTTAAATATGACACGCATCTAGCACGACGCGGCGCAAGATCCTCTCGTAGAAGACAAGTTAGTATTTCCATATGTACATTGCTGCGATGTAGATCCTTCTGCGGGAACCTCTGCAAGCGAACCTGGCGGAAAATAACAAGGCCGCGCGTGGGCAATAATAGTAATAGACGATGCCGTATAAGATGGGGGATCTTTTAGGTCGGTACTTTTCTGCCCCTCGCTGGCTCTGCTAATGCTGCTCTGTATCTTCTGGTGCATGCCAGATGCGGTAGCCTCCGCGCCCCTTGCGTCGGGAATAAGCAGGGAAGAAAATATCGGCGATTTCTTTTTTTCTTTTCCGGCCTTCAGGAGTTATGAAGGATTGTAGCCCGGCCTGATATTGAGAGAGGTCATGAGGCAAACAGCATTGCCATCTGAGTATTGGCTACCAGGTAGACGGCTCTCTCATGGGCCTCTTCCCGGCCGAACGCAGATACATCACGGCGATTCTTCGGCCGAGCAGAAATTATGTATGCCATTGAGCGTATCCGTATCAAGTCGGAGCAAGGGGCGTGACGCTCTAGACGCATCCAAGGCAGGCAGCAGTTTTGTGCTACAGCAAACAGCGAAGCATTATCGTAGTCCTAGCCATGGCGTTGGTACGGAATCCCATTGCTGAGGCTCCTGCTTAACCCCTTCCCCCTCCCTTAAGGTCTCTTGTCTCTCAGACATAGCCCATCCTCTCAGCTTCCCAGCTGGAAATCAGTCAGATAGCTAGCTAGAAAGGGAAAGCGAGCTGTCCGAGGCGCTCTTGGATGCGGAAACAAATCAAGAGGCAAGCCGGCAAGTAATTGCGAGTGTGCCAAGGCGGTCGCTATAGCAAGTTATTAGTGTTGCTCACTTCAGCCCTGTGGCTGCCTGCTGGCCCTACAGCCGCGCACTTATACAGCCGCGCGGACTCGCACCCCCCTCCTTAGGTGAGAAAATGGAAGCCAAGAGACAAAATCCAAAAAGAGAGGAAAGCTGCTGTTAGTGGCTGGGAAAGCGTCTCCACTGCCGTCTAAGCCCAGGGAATGGAGCAGCCTCTGTAAGGCCGCTAGCCAACGCCAGCCAATCAGCCGGGTCTGTCATATTGGCTCCCTCACACGCCCCAAGGCCCACTGAGAGCGGAGGAGCACAGCTTGGGGAGAAGGACAAGGGGAGTACGAAGTACATACAGCAGTCCTTGCTTGTGCCAACTCGCGTTAGCAGGGGCTAGCGATGTTGCCTGCTAGCTCATGTACGTGTGATCTATCTGTTGTAGGCACGAGCTCAAGTCTCCATCCTGCAAAGCCCTACAGCAGGGCTGCTTTAACTCGATTGGGTGGGATACTTGGCCTAACCCTCATAAACGCAGATTCGCCCCTCTCATCTAGCTGGAGCATGGTTGGAGGGGCTGAGTCCAGGGAGCTGTGGCGACTGACCTATCAGCGAGCTCCACCCCCGGTCTCGGACCCGAGGCATTCTCGTCCACGTCCTTTGTCCGTACAGATCGGCTTAGAGCATCATGCTTGCATGCGGTTAGTGCCCAGCCAGCTGAACTATTGTTTGGGCAGGAGCAAATAGAAGTCATCACGGCAAGCCAAGGGGCAGAAGAGAAACATACGGCATACGCGCATGCAGCGAATGAGATACACAGCAGGAAACCACATGACCGGTATCTCCTGCGCCAAAATCATCCTCCCAAAGCGCCCGGCCGAGATTGGTTTTGTCTTGCTCGCCATCCTTACCGCCACCCTTTGCTGATAGTGCGCGCGCATATGCGGTCAATATTTTCCGTTAAATCTTTAAATTCAACCTCAGCTCGGCTTTGGCTAGTCTGCGCAAGGGCGGCACTCTGGGAGATTCCGTCGACATTAAACCGTTTATGGCATGAAGCTCATGCCGATTTGGGCTTTTTTCTCCGCAAGTCGCCTCGCTGCTTATCAATAGGTTCAGATGTATGCATGTAGTTGTCACCAGAATCACTCTGCCTCAGCTCACCATCTTATGCGAGTCAAGATTTAGTTGCCGTGGCAAATTTTGCCAGCCGTAATGCCATCATGATGCCTCATCCTACCTGTCGGTGCAGCCATTCGGTAGGACGGTTGATGCACTGCGTACTATGTAATTACCTGCATCTCATGCAGGCAGGGAACTTCTAAGGAGCTCGTTAGTCTGCCACGCAAGAATCCAAGCCACACACTTGATAGTGCATAATCGTCTCTAAATCCGGAATAGGATAATATTCCGTGGGCTGCATTGCTATCCAATTCCCTGAACAAGCTGGAGATCTCTGTCAATGAAACATGAAGAAGAAAAGCTGCCAAGAGGACTGTGTATTACCTCAAGTCCTGCAAGCTGCCTAGCCCATTTTAGCCTTCTTCAACGTGCACTTGTGGTTCAACGGTGGTGCGACAATGGTTCGATAGATAGCAGGTGCAATTATGACTGATCTGACCGTTGCTTGCAGGGTGTGCAGCGCTTGCCTTGCCTCCCAGCCCGTGTTCTATGTCTCATCTCTCAGACTTCGGCCGCCCGTAGTAGGACCGACATATACATAGGTATAGACCAGTAGACCGAGACTAAGATCTTCAGGGGGTATCTTGCATCGGAAGGGGATACAGCAGACGATCTGGCGCTAAGGCAATCCAATTTTCTGCATTGTGCTCAAAGAAAAAAAAAAAGAAGAAAGAAACGCTTAACCCAGTCCAAAGGCTAAGGGATGCTGGCTAGCCATGGCATTTCTGTACTCTAGCATGCCATGCTAAGCGATCGGAGAAGACGTACACTTGAAGATACACTCTCCGTCGGACACCCCCACTTGCCTCGGACCGCGTGGGCTTATCATTCTTTTGCCAACCAACCTCCGATGCCCACCTGAAGCCCTTGGTTGACGGGGCTATGGGAGCTTCTCTCTCTCTAGTAACACAATTTGTGGGGAACCCCAAACTTCATATCGGCATTGCTATCCCATTCCTCCCTATTCTTCATGGGCTAAAGCCGGTGCGGTGCAGACATGATTCTCCCAAGTTGCCTGTATCAGCTTAGTTCTTAGCCGAATCGACAGACCGCCGTCTAGAATGCTTCTAGCGCTCTCCGCTAAGCCGTATGCCATCTAGCCTGCCTATCGGGTTCGCGAGATAACCGGGCCATGCTGTCATTCTTCGCCCGCTGTCGTCACGGCGTCTTCACTTTTGCGTCTTAGTTGGCACTTGAAACGCGGTCCCTTCCCGTGAATCCTTTGTGCCATGTCGTATATATGGCACACGTATATACCTAGTAGTACTTGGTAATTTGTTTTTACAAGTAGATATATGAGTGCGGAGTAGCAATCTACTCTTTACACTCAGTATTTCGTACCCTGCCGGGATGCTGGCGCAATGCGTTTCTAATGACTTCAATACCAACACCACCACGGCTGTACATTTGCTGACAGAGGACATTTGCCGCTGTGCCGGGCTCATGTCACCACGCTCGCGTCGCTTGTCTATCATCTGAGGTAAAGCAATAGCAAGTTTCAGCCGCCATCTTGCCGTAATCCAACCCAGGTGTTTCTGGATGAATGAAAGAACTGGCGGCGGGGGCGGCACACCTTCGCCGGCAGTTGACTCGGGCGTGCTTCCGTGGCGACGGCTTTCAAATCGGTCGTCGGAGCGCGGGACCCTCTTTTTATTGTGTTCGGTCCGTGAGTGCATACGAGTGTGCGAATAGGAAGTGGCCGTTGACATCAAAAATGGGGCTTTTGCGTCAGGCGGCTCCAGTATTTTCCCTTTGGCTCCTAGGATAGCAGCCTGTTCCTGAGAGCTGTGGACCAGGCTACGGGGACCTCGACGACATCCCAGTCGCCGACCTCCCAAAACACTCATGAGATTTGCTTTTTGTATGCATCTTCTGAGTTCACATCTCCGGCCTTCGCCATGTAAGACACGCCGTGCTCTTAGCCCAAGTCCACAGTCATGATTATTCTTTGCGGGCGCCTCTGGACTCCATCAGCATGTGAACTGACTAGGTGCGCGAGCGACATTCGAGGTGTTTAATACATTGGTAATACCTAGTATGGAGCAAAATGCCAACATTGCCTCATACCGGGCGGGCCGTGGCTGTTGCGGATCCCTTTTTTCTCTCGTTACGCATCCCTTGATTTTTAGCATCAAGGGGCACACCATTTGACAGACCTCCTCACAGCCCTATGGACGAAGCTGTGACACAGGAGGCGCACGCAATGTTTCTGGTAGTGGGGAAGTGCAAATAATAGTTGGCGCCACTTTTCTGAGTCTCCGAGAGCCACCAAGGAACCGCTCCCTTGGGGCACCTTGTTTCCTCGTTGATACTCTGTTGCATAATCGCCCCGGCCTATCCGGACTTTCATCTCGATGCTTGTAGCCTTAGCCACAAAGGGAACAATCTCATTTAAGAGACAGCAGTCAAAGCCATAAGGATGTGATGCGTCGCTTTGCTCAACACATCCTGACTCAAGAGCTCTCCACATACTTCCGCTCTAAGAGGACGCCGCGAGGAAATCTCCTGTCTCCCTTCGCCCGAAGAGAAAAAAAAACATTTCAGGAGATGGTGAATCACAGGAACAGGTATCGTTTTGTCTAGCCGGAGGTGTAAACGTATGTCGCTGCCATTTGTGATTAGCGTTCCCTTCAGCCTTGTGAATCACACTCTCTTGGTGCAAGCTAGCCTTGATATGGTAATTAAGCCCATTCTTTTGAGTCCCCGACAGCCCGACAATGGACACAGGCTTCTGGAAGCTCCAGCGAGAATCAGAGTCGTATTTTGTAAGCGCTTGTGTTGGATAGCTTTGCTGTCCTCGGAGACTTTTCTTTCTAGATAGATTAATGTTGAAACTACTAGTGGTCGGAGATCTCGGTCGACCCAGTTGTTGGTATCGACAGACCAGTATGGTGGCAGCTTACCCGAGGAAGTAGCATATGCACCCTATCAGGTAGACGATAGCGTCTACAGTCGCGTATTAATGGTACAAGGCAGTGATGGTTTTATATCCGAATCTGGGGCCTTTTTCGTATTTCTAGGCTTCGTACTTCCAGACAACGCTTTGAATGAATAGATCTGGTGCAAAGAGCTACACTTTGTATGAGTTGTGTCCCCCTCCTCCCTTTTACCTTGGTATGAATGGAAAGCGAGTCTTCCTTGATATCGCCTGCGGTTATAGGATTAGAGATTGCGTGTAGCGTAGAGCAGCGAGCGTCGGATCTGCTGCAGCGGCTTAACCGCCGCTTCGGCGCCATAACAGACTAGCGCGGCTAGGTTGTAAGCCAAATGAATCTGCTCTCAAGAGCTCTCTGCGTACGTGAAGCGCCGTTGAGTGGGTCAGTGCTGTATGTAGTGCCATTGAAAGCCTGCTAAAGTTCGACGGAACAATCCGTCCCCCTTTCTTTTCTCCTCGCTTCCTCGACTCATGCCAGCGACGGAGCACTGCACCGGCCGATAATTCAGGCCGCTTAGTTGATCTCGCTGTTATGGAAGCCGCAGCAAAATATTGGTACACAAGTAGATGTAGGGCGTGTCATGCATCGATTGTCGTCGAAACAAAAGGGACCTCAATGGACACATCATAACACACCCCTCCTTGTCATCATCTGCCCCCTTGGTGTCGGCTGGGGATAATGAAGTGTGAATTAATTTCAGTTTTCATATGCTATTGTATCAAGGGCGGTCCGGCGCTTGTTGAGCCGTCTTCTGGCGGGGAAAGCTGCCCTGGCCTGGCTTGTCCCACCCTTTCTCTCCTGGCGAATATGGCGATTAAAAGCGATGGTGGGCATTCGAGGAACGATTGGCTAAACACAGGATTAGGAACATGACTCTGCTGGCCCTTGTAAGGCTGAATGATCAATGGTCGACTTGCATGCATACTTTCGTCAATGTCGCATGGCAAGCCAGTGCCCTGCTCATTCCGCCTAAGCGAGTGGCGGCCCAAGTTGCATAGGCGTTTGCCATCGTCTCGTATTCCCTAAAGAGTATAACACGGCTTGTAGCCCAAGCCTTACCGTGTACGATTGGCCCTTGTTGTCTCTCTACTTCGCCTTGCTCGTTGTGCCTATTGGTGTTACGAGTGTGTTTGTGTAGTGTCTTGAATTGCCGACATTATATACCGTGTGTGCTGAATGAGCAGGTGCCCCTTGAGAGGATCAATTAGTGGATGCTCAAACCGTCTTAATCAGTAGCCTGAATTATCCGTACTGGGACTGTTGTGGCTGGCAACTTGCAGGCTTTCCATGGTTCGCTCAAAACTTGCAACATAGTGGGGAAGTGGCTTTGAAGCAGGCTTTCATCTTCGTCACGTGATGAGAAAAATCATTACACATCTTCATCGGTGCATTTGGTTAATAGAAAGTGTTACCAGCTACTCATGTACAGCTCGACCGTCATTTTCATAGTCTTCTTGTGCTTTTTCTGTAGTTGTGGAATAGATCGTATGATTAGGGAAAATGTCGTCAGTGCTCACATCGCGGACGGCCCTTGACCCAGATACAGTACTCATATGGCACCAGTAACTGCTTGGCTTCGTCGACTGGGGCCGGCTTATTCGAATCGAGCGTCACTATCCCTTAAACTTGCGGGGCAGTATCAACACCTACAAGGACTAGTTGAATATCAACTCTCTTCTTGTTGAACCGACGAGCTGAGCGGTGTGATGGCTGATGAAAAGCTAACGACAAGGCTGGTGATCCGGCCAAGTAGCAAATCTGCAGCATTCGCCAGGAAAACCTGATGTCCGTGGGTCGGACCCGGCGACTAGCAAAGCGGTCGAAATCCACAGCTGATCAGCCAAGTGTTCTTGGGTGGGTTAGAATTAGTACCATACGCCAGCTAGGCAGTAGGCTAGGTGTTGGGCTGGCAAGGATATAGAGCTAGCACTTGAATGGCCTCCGGGGAACTGCTGTCCTCCATGGGAAATCGTTGTCGGTGCTGCTGGACAATGCATGGATAATGACAAGTGGCGCTGCCCTTGCTAAGTCATCAAGTAGCGAGCTGAGTTTTGGGCTAGAGTTAGGGCGATTCAGCCCTCCAAGAAGTAGAGGTGCTTGTGCGTAGGCGGACCGGTAGGGCGCAGACACCATTCTTCGAGTTTGGGTGGACGGCGGAATTGTTGCGTTGAACTGCAGCTGCAGGCCTACTGGCTCCGCCAAGCTGAAGCCATGCGCGACTTGACAGGTTGGAAACTGGCCACGCTTGACGACATACACGACATACCACCATAAGCAGCGCGGATTTTTGACACGCCTTTGTAAGCCACAAAAAGCGTTGAGGGCAGGGATTTTTCAGTCAGGTCCACGGAAATTGCGTAGGACGCAATCCGGAGCTTCGGAGCTGAGAGCCAGCACCGTGTTTTCAGCGTTGACGGTGGTGGCACCAAATTTCGACAGAGCAAATCGAGGCTAATCACGGAGGAGCACTCCGTGCTTTGTAGCTTTGTAGTTTTGTGGCACTGCTGCAGGAATTATGAATTAGCTTGGAGCAGACAAGAAGCACGATATGAGCAGAGTACGATTGCAAGACTCGATGACAGAGGTATCCGCAAGCCGGAATGACAAGATGCTGTTGAGGAGAAGATGCAGTGTGTCCGAACCACCATGGCCCAGCGCTGTTGGTGTGGAGCTTGGGACGTAAGGCGGTCGTTCTTGCCCAATCTGCGTATCTACACCTGCATTTGGGGTACAACTTACTCGCTATCGCTGACCATCATATCTGCCTATTGCAGGTAACAGGATCCTGCAATTAGCGTCGGCCAAGACGCCATCAGGCTGTACCGATACTAACGACGCCTGGCAATTTGTAACACATGGCAAGTAGCTCTCAGTTCCGCAGACGACTCGCGCTCATAGGCCTTCTGCGCCCTGGGCGTCTCCTACGCCAGACAAGCATCTCCAATCTCGACAAATCGTATTGCATGCGCCGCAATTCTGAATCTCCACCGTTGTGTGTGCAGCCTTGCATTGGCCTGGTTCCAAGTACCGGCCAAGTTCTCGAGTAATACTGCCCAGGCGGCTGGCTTTGGCGCTCGACTACCTGCCACTATTGGATAGTCACTGGCACTACTCGTATGCTTCACGTCAGGCTTGAGGCGTAGAGAGCAACGATCTCCCGCAGATCAGCACAACACCTGGTTCGCAGCAGTCGCCGCGAAACGTAAGAGTTGGGTGGTGATGCTGGTAAGTCGTGTTAGCAATGGATTGTAACCAGTGCGAACGTGCTGCAATCATTGCCCAACGGCACGCCTGAAACATCATCTCCCGCTCACTTCTACTGCTAGGTCCTCTCGCTCTCGCTATTCCACTGCCTCAAAAAGGGCCTTATTCTTGGCAGGCGAATTGCTAAGCCGCTAACCCCGGAGCTCCAACTGGGCATCCATACAAGGTGCTGGCGCCAGAGTACCGCGGCTGCGGTCGTCGTCATACCTTGCCTACCACACACGGCCTTGGACAAAGAGGAAGCGTGTATGTATGTAAAAGGCATCCATACTTTCTGCAACGCAGGGCTGCTAAAACAGAGCGAGAGCCAGAGCCAGAGCCCTACACCCCTCCCCTCTGACTGCTGCTCCTGCTAGCCGGAGGAATATGTTCTTTTCCGTTTCGGCCCTGGAATTGCTGCCATTGGCTTACTCTTCATCGACTCACAGCCCGAACGATCGCCGAGCGATCCTTGAGCTGCTGCTTCCCCGTTCTGCCGTTCCATTGCCAGGGGCCCGGAAACTGCTGCGACCATACTGGCAAAGCTGTTGGTCACTTTTGGCGAGCATCCTGTCGCTCCGCTCCTACAGAGCAGTGCGCTTGTTTGGTGCATGTGCGTGCAAGCACAAAGAGTGCTCACAGCAGGGATAGGAGAGATTGGCCAGAACAGAGTGGGAAGACGGACATACGGATGGGAGGCGAG